AGCGGCCAAGTCGGGTATGAAACGGTGTCCTTACCCAAGTGTTAAATCACTGGCGGTACGATCGTCATAGCGGCCATGTCGGTATGAAACGGTGTCCCTACCCAAGTGTTAAATCACTGGTGGTACGATTGTCATAGCGGCCATGTCGGGTATGAAACGGTGTCCCCGCATCTTCCCTGGTCACCATGGTATTGTTCATTGTTTTTTTGTTGATGCACGTGGGTCCGACACGCCGTAAACTGGAATACTGTTCAAAGCAGCCTTAAACCACACTCACTCACTACTAATGCAATTTATAGTATCCTTTTGAGGTATCCATTCTATTAGAACCGGTAACGAGTTAGACCTGGTCTTCAGTAACCCATGCTTGTCGTAAGAAGCGATTAACGGGATCGGGAATTCAGGCTTGGTTGACACATGTCATCGTATATCCACTGTGAAGGTCTATGCTCAGGATATTGATCACTGGATTGTCTTGTCCAGGCTCGATTATTGACAGATCGCTGCCCTTAAACTGGAATATTACTGAGTGCGGTGGTTTTAAACAACAAGCTCACAAAACCATTCCGTGTGCATTACAAGAAGTTGGTTCATGCTGAGGCAACCTGTAGTACATAAAACTACTGAACCACTTTGCAGGAACAGATACACTGAGCTCCCTAACCGTTCGTTAAGGTGAGCTAATGGCAAGCGCCTGTTATCTGTCGGCCACGCAACAGGTGCTCTTCTCACAACAGGACATAAACTGTATTCTACAGACCTGGCATACTGGTTGCCAACATCTGACACAGTCCACACATATATACGGATGTAACAGTACAATATTGTTAATTCATCACTTAACGCAGTTCACACAGCTTTCACTCTAAAACCATATTTTACCATCTTTTCCTGAATAAATGTAATTAGTTGTTCATTTTATGTCACCAGATGTGGTGTGTCTAAGAGGGCAGTGTGATGAGGTTCGATGATTTGATTGTCACACGCACATCAAGTGTTCTTCAAAACGAAGACAAAGGCGCCGACAGATAATCTTGGTGTTATATTCTTCATATAAGTGGTTTAAGGGTCAGTGGTTATATCGTTCGCTCGTCATGCTGACAATCCGGGTTCGAATTTTACCGAATGATTATACTGCGAAGTCCATTGCTGGTGTCTTCCGTATTTCTGAAATAAAAGCGGCGTAAACATATGCACCTGTTGTCAGTATTGTCACGTTATCGAACTTAAAAACTTAAATAATATCCTTTTGCGATCCCGTTTAATGGTATGCGGGTTTAGACAAAGTTGCGTGTACAGCTCACACGTACAACTTGTTCCTGCTCACATACATCAATACAAACAATGAGGGGAATCTGAGCTCTTAGAAATATCTCATTGCAAGAGGAATTGGTTTAATATATTATTCATGAACGTTAAGCCCTATTAACAGATTTTATATTTTCTGAATTATTCAGTGTGTACATTCCCGATGCTGGGACCAGAAACGTGACATATATTTGCCATGTTTGGTGATGAGTCAGCACTAATTCAGTATCCTGCTCGGGGATTGGTGTTGTTACCATTGTGATATCATTGACGCAACAATGCTTTGTGCTAGTATTTATTTACCAACCTTTATGCTACACTACATGAGGCATAATACGCAAGCAGTTGGGCATAGGCATTTCAGATCATAGTTCACAGTGCACGACTTCGATAGGCATATAAGTGAGGTGAGGTTAGGTGAAATTGGGTTTAACGTCGTGCTTGAGAATATTTCGCTCATATGACGATGTGCATGCGTGTGTGTATGTGTAGGTGCGGCTGCTTGTACTAGCCCAGACTGAAGCTGGTTTTATAGTGCTAGCCCACTGAGATACCATGCCGCAGTGAAGCATGAATACCCCACTCAGACACATTATACTGACTCCGAGCCGACCAATCCTTGTTGTACCCATTAATGCCGAGCGCCAGGCAGGGACCAACAAGTACCATATTTTAATGTCTTTGGGTATGATGCGGTCGGGGATCAAACCCGCGACCTTCCGCTCTCCGGGCGGACGCTGTAACCACTACACCACGGAAGCGGCCGGCATATAAGTGGTTTGGCATAGTCTTTGTTTGCTTGTTCGTTGTTAAACACCGCACTCGGCCACATTCCAGCTACAAGGCGGCGGTTTGTAAATAATCGAATCTGGGCAAGACAATCCAGTGATCAACAGCATTAGCATCGATCTGCGTAACTGGGCTGCGTGTGTGTGTGTGACGATATTGAGAAACGTTTTGAGACACACTTCAGACACTGCCACTCTTAAAATACGCTGTCTAACGTATATAAAATCGTAACCTCGGACGAGGGAAATGATACTGCTCAACCTCTCCCTTCCGTCCACCCATCTATTGCTCTGCCATCATTTCAAAATTGTAAACAAAGGGGAAAATATCAGTTTCACTTTCCAAATGATAAACAAGTGCAAAAAAGGGCAAATTTGAAAATATTTGTCTTAAAATATTTTGATGTGTATTATTCCACGAGCTTCGTAAATTACAGAAAACAACCACCTCTTAATTACATTTCTTTTATTTCAACTTAAACTCTACAGAACACTGTGTGCTCACATATTTTAACAAAGTTAACCCTGTAAATTGTAAAGGAAGTTTACCCGCCATTATCCCCTCTCTAGCCATGTGTAACAAAGGGAAAATACTCCATAAAACAACAGACTCGCAACTGACATCCACAAACTGCGGGTGAAACACAGACTTACGCAGAATTTGATTTTGACGCATGAGGATGACAAAGCCATCATGTAGGGTTTGGACAAACCGGGTTCTATCTTGACAGAAGAGTGATTGCCATTTCTGGAAACTTTAAACCTTATTATGTCTTACTGGCAGCAATTTTAAACATTTTATCATGCTGGGATATGGAACTCTGATCAGTGCTTGGAGCTAAACAAACTGTATACAGGCCAGTGAAAGTCGCATCATCATAATAAATGATGCACCATAATAAATGATGCACTATATACAAACCAATGGAGATAACTCCGTCAGTCCCCTTATCACAGACAAACACAACTGCACTAATGGTCCAAGAGTATGGTCTTCGAACAGTATTAACTTAGCAGTATTATACAGTTGAATACATACAAATTGATGAACCCTGAGATCATAATTCATCATCAAGCTTAGAATACTCCACTTGTATGGGAGAAAATTCCCAGAAACTGATCCCTAGACTCTCTAATGTTTCGTCTGAACATGACATAAAAATATTCATCTGTCCTTGTATACATAGACACAACAACCTATTGTTAGGTAGAATTCGTCAATAAAAAATCATATCAAAGTAAACAAAGTCTGAAAACTGTAGAGGAGGAATTCACACATGGCAGGATGATATCCAGTATATCTGTCATAATGACAAATGAGTAGTTTGGTTAAAGCTTCTTTGAACACAATTTCAGTAACATCCTGACGTCAGCTGAATGCAGACAAAATGGAGAAATTCCACGAGTACAGGTATAGAACTGATGCGTCAATGATCATAATCAGTATAAAGCTGGGACTGGAAACCATTATTGGCAAATCCTACCTTGACAAAAGGACGTTTTCTGGACAGAAAATTCCAGTGTTTCATCTGACATACTCATGTACCTTTTAAAAAATGTGAATATGTTATGAAACTTGCTAGTGCTGTATGTTTTACACTCTACAATACACAATAAAATATTTCAATGTCTTCACTTTTTCGGATCAGAAGCGTAGCGTGTGACATGAACATACAACATACTTGAGATGATCATTAGAGGATCACGAGTCCGTATCAGGGACATTATTAACACTGGTCATTTTTCATATGTTATCAATTAATGATTCCTTATGATCCTTCTATAATAGTATATTCCTAAGGAAATAGTATACCATGTTTAGTCCATATTGCACAACTCTCAAACCAGGCGCCAGACACCTGAAGATCACGTATTGTAACATCAAAACAGAATTAAAATGAAAATATATATAAAAAAACAAACAAAAAATGACCACTGCTACTTGCTTCATCTTCATATTCTTCTATTATTAATTATGTAAACTGGTGGTAGGTAAATAAGATTCTAAATCCTTGCACAACTGATGCATCCTATCTTTGCGAAATATCAAATTAATCACCTGAAACATTTATTTAAATCATTTACTTTTATTTAAATCAATAAATCTATACATCATGGACACAAGCCATCAACGACTAGAATCAGCAAGGGATTAATACAGTAGCAGGAAGATGTAATTATCCTGTCCAACACAATAATTACTACAACCATCAGTTAAAAAGCTGTATATGTAAGTTTACAGAACACAATTATAATTATATGCATACTTCTGCTAAGAGGATTCATACATCCTGAATATACTGAACAAAAACATACAAATTATGATTATGAACAGTTAAAAAATTGGGTAAAACAAATTTCCATTCTAACATGTATTTTGTCCGACATTCTTAATGACCACACAAATAGTGAATTTCAGTATTTTAGAATTAATGTATATGTTCTCATGGACACAGCCATAACTTTAGTTTCTTGAAGTGGAAAGCTGAACATTACATATTCTATATCTTGTCAGAAACTAATCATCATTTCCATTGCAGCTATATCCACCTCACACTCAACAAAAAAACACACACTGTGATTAAAATTTAAGAATGACAGCTACGATAATCACTTTGTGCACGTAGACTCCCATCAAGTCACACCACAAGAATGATCATATCACAACTTTATTAGAAACAACAAAATACTGTAGATCTCTGCTTTCACTTGCTGACTATGTAAGCGGAGAGCCATCGTATGTCTGCTTAAATATAATTCACAGCTATCTAGACGACCTGGTCGTTCATGCTTCACCTCTTTCTCTTCCTTCTACAGTTGATCAGTTACAACAACAGAGAGACAATGAATGCTTGGCAAGCCACATCAGTTTTCACACATGTACAAATGCAGGGATAGAAATTAACAAACATCAACAGTCTGACAATATATAGTGATACGTCAAAAATGTTTGAAATTCTTCTAGCCCTCAGGATACCTGACTGAAAGCTGGTCTGGGCTATCCGGCTAATGGTAATTCCTATCCCTGGAAAGCAGACTACAAAAAGGTAAAACACAACACACTGACAGAATATACTTGATACATGAACAGTATCATACTTCCTTGGTTTCATTGCTTCAGTATATTGTTTATTTGTGTTTATTTACCAGTAATTACATTGTCCCTTTAAGGGCTGTTCAATCATAGAATGCTTGTGGAGTTTCCAAGCTGATACTGATAGTTCAATGCATTGGCCACATTCCACAAACGACTGTAGTGCTATAGTTTGGCATGAAATGCATGTGGACCCGTTTTTTTGTAAATATCTCTTCATCCAATGACCCAATCGATCTCAAACTGTGAACTTTAATCTAGCAATAGAACACTGCCGCTGTTACAGGTCATTGGCTCCCTCCCTCTGCAAGCCGTCTGCGTTCTGCTGTTTATTTTGTTGACAGTGACATAGACAGATTCTTTAATACAAATGCATAAAATCGGTGATTTATAATGTGATTAGGTTGTCTGACAAAACATCCACTTGCACAGTTTGAGATCGATTGGGTTATTGGATGAAGAGATATTTAAAAAAACCCGGGTCCACTGCATTTCATGCCAAACTATAACTGCTAAGTCGATCCAAAAACTCCAAAACTGTAACATAGACTTGCGACATTCATAGCAATTCAGCCAGACTAATGAAAACACCTATATTTGTTCCCATGATGAACCTTTATGATGCAAGGCATTTCAAAATGGATTCTTCAAAATAAATAATCGGCAGTTCTTAGTTCCATTGTATTGACAAACATTGCTTTAACAGTCCTAGGATTTCTGTTATTAGCTCCCCCCTCCGCTCTTGGAATCTGTGACATATTTCTTCCAGAGTCCAGGCAAAACCGCGGCGCCGACGCCTATTGTCATGGCTCCTACCACCATGCCCTGAGCGATGACACGAAACTTCATGAGGTACACTGAAGTGGACATTCGTCCTCGATTCTTATACATCACTGCTCCATATGTGACTGCACCCAGTAGGCCAAGGATTCCTGTAAGTGAATTAAATGTTAAAGACCACTTTTGCCAAAGTCACTCTGTATCACTGGGATATGTACAATCTGTAACATCAACAAAGTAATGCTGTATATATCTTACATACACAGTGCCAATGGCATTGTTGCTCCTCAGATTGTTTGGTTCAGGGGTCAGTGTGCTATAATGACAACACACATGTGTAAGGAAATATTACAGCCACCAGAAGTAACTTTGAAGGTTTTTCCCCAGATACCCATGCAGGACAAAATGGACCTGACATAGGCTCCCTTGACTTACAGATGTTCAATATTCTGCCATTACAAACTGTCCGAAAACATGCCTGGCCAAGTATGAGAAGTAATCATGTTAGAGCAATGACTTTCCTCAACACTTGATCTATCTCATTGACTGTTTCTACCATGTCATATCATAAATAAACATAAGCAGATAGGATATAAAAACCAAAAGGCCACAATGGAATGTTAGACTTAAGTACGGAAAATTCGAAGATATGAAGAGAGGCATTATATGTATTTTTCTTTGTTTCTTTTCATACTATCTGTTGTACATTTACTGTTTAACACATGAAGTGTGAATTTGGAGGCACTATGTAAATGACTTACATGACGTACTTCATTATGTGAAGAAGGAAGGCTACAAACATAGCTATTTTCTTTGAAAGTATTTTTAGGGATAATACAATTCTGGGAGACAAGGTACATGGTTGTGATAAGGATGGTCAGGGATTAAATCCATCCATCAAACCATTTATTTAGACAATAATAACCAACCTATTGGCACAAATGGTGCTTCTTTTGCTTTCCGCCATAATTTGTTTTCTGCCTTCACTGAATCTTCCCACTGTGGGGGTTCCACACGATTTGCATCTGTTGACATGTTGTCTGGCATTTACCTTCAACTGAGAGAACAATGACAGAATGATGATGAGAAGAAAATCACATTTGAATAATTGCAGACAAAGATCCTGACATAAAAGCTTCTGCAGACAGAAAGCACAGTACAGTTTACATGACAAGAACCACATCAATAAGCAGAAAGCTGGAAGATTAGTAGCATTTGATGATGAAAATCTTGTCAAACATCTGGGCACATACTCTGAAAGTGAAATATTGTTATCCGGTACTCCCGAAAAGCCAAAAGGGCTGTTATTAAAAGTTATCATTAAAAGTTGCAGGTCAACATTTGGAAATAGATGTAAGGGCACATTATTCTTTCACGCATACTTGCTCTGTGACAAAAACATTCACCACTTATAATCATGGATGTAGCTCATGGACCTGACATGTAAGCATGTACAAGTTTTCAGTAAGGAAAAAATGTTCTACCTTGACAAATAGACTGTTGTAAAGGTAAAATTTATTGTCAGGGCTCCAGATAAGGGCTGTATCGGCGTATGTACAGAAATAAAATGTGCACGATACGGTAGGAAATAATTTAGAAAACGTAGCAGATACGCACCACAGCAATGGTGTACGGTCTTAGAATCATTTACAGACGTATTTATATGAAATAGTATTGTTTTATTGTTCATGGACCTGTTTACACAAGAGTAGCAATGTTGTTGTGCATATATGAAAGAAACGCAAACTTACTGGTACTCAATTAACTTCCATTAAGTACACTTAATGTACTCTTAAGGTTTTCCAGTACTCCTGCATTGAAAAAGTAAGGAGTATGTACTCCTGATGACTGATGTTGAAAATTTATCTGGAACCCAGTATTGAACCAGGTTAATTTAACCTAATCAAACAGTGAGTACCAGACACAGGTTAATGGGTAGTCACGCTACCTAAGACACTGCAACAGTCTACAAATGGTGTACAAAACAAACCCTCCTCTAGTAATTAACATAACTTAGTGAGTGGAAATGACGATGGACAGATATGCATGATCATGATGATGAGTAGGATCATGATTTTGAAACTTCAAAAAGAATGCACTTAGTTAAGATTTACTGCTTGGTATTACTGACTAAGAACACTTCAGTAATAAACTTTTAAATATTCAACATATTTTTCTTACATGTCAAGTGAATAATGATACATATATTTTATTCACTGTCATAAACCATCTTTATGGATGGCATGTGCAGAAGACACGACACTATTGTCTCATATTTTCCACTGGTCCTTAAGCAAACTGGCTGAATTCAGCTTTTGATTAAATTTTCACTGAGGTCCAAATGAGCAGAATGAGGACAGTGACTCTGACAGTGACACTCTTAATTTAGATTTCAGAGATTTCTTGAGAGTATCTATTTCTTTATCAGCACATATACATTTAAAGGTAATCATGAACATTAAAACTCACCAGATTTTCTAAAAACGGAATATGTAGCTATATCGAAATGGCAGACACCTCCTGGATCTTTTGTAACTTACCACGCTCTCAGTTTGACATTCGGACGTGACCGGAAGTGTGAGCAACTGACCTTTTTGTTGCGTCATTGACCTTCACGTTCACGTGAGCTGGGCCCCGTCTCGCATATTGCAATATAGGCAAGGTGACGCGCGCAAAGGGAGCCGGGAACCAGCTTACACGTTCACGTTCCTACTAAGCTGGTTCCCGGCACCCTTTGCGCACAAACTTGCACTATATGTGAAGAGACGGTGCCCAGCTTTATCTCCTACCCAGAGTTCTACTGCCCCTGAGTGACCTTGATTATGAAAACCAAAGACGTATATACGAAATATTTTTAGATAATCACATAGTGGTTGTAGTATGATCTAATGTCCATCTAATGATGGAAAATTAAATATAAAAATGTTTATTTCTGTTTTAATAAAGAAACGTTTTTGTAAACAACACATGTCTATATTTCCGGACAACCTTACTACTTCCGGTTCAGTCACATGCAATGTTTACGTGAAGAGTTGTTCGATGTCATTTCCATTATGTAGCAGATGATAACATGTAAATAGAGAGTTATAACTCTTTCTCACTCTTCCCTAAAGGAATGTTGTTATGTGCAATGTGATGGGCTGTAATTTCGGTCATCAAAACCACAAGCGCTAAGAGAAACTCCGCTTTTCTAAATGACAAAAAATGTAAATGACAACACAACAGGTTGTATCCCTCGGCGATTTTCACAAAGCCAGTACCAGAATTTTATGTGATCACTGAAAATGTTTTGGAAATCCCGTTGAGGAGCAGTAGGCAGGAGATTCGGTGGGTTTCTGTTTTCAAACTGAGTGATAAAGCAAACTGATGGAAGTAGTTCTAGCAAATCTGGACATCGGCCCGACAAATTTCGTGAAACTGAAAGTGATGAAGAATCTGGCATGATATAGTCGATTCGTTGAATGGTCGAACTCAGGGTTCAGTGATAGATTTTGTTTATCGCTAAAATTCTTTGATTTTATGTATGTGTCATATTTTTTCTGTCTCATTCCAAAAGTTTACGAGCGATTTTATGCTCACACACTTAACCAGCAAAAACCTTATGTGAAATGTTAAAACAAGTGGTCAGATGTCACATTAAAATGCGTCCCCATGAGACAATAATTAGGATGAATGATCACAAATACCCTGTAGCCCCCCCCCACACACACACACAGAGAAATGAGGTGACTTTGTCAGTATTTGATTCTGAAACAATTCTCTATGATTCCAAATATTCTTCTTTCACAAAGATCCAGCTGTAAACATGATAGAGTACAATCAAATCATTAGTATGGCTCTACTGATCAGAAATTGTATAATGTTCTCCAGACCTTAGACACAGTTTAGCTATTAATAACACTTTGCAACTTTTCTTCAGGTGGTCTATGAATTATGATACAATGTATTGCTGAATGTTTGAAATTTCCGTCTGGTTTGAGAAAGCGATGATGTAACATTTGTAATGATCTGGCCTATATTTTGCTGAGCATTTAGAATGTTACAGCATCTCATCAAATTTACATGAAAAGTTTGCGTTAAACAGTATTCATGGTATTCCCCAACCAACCACAATACATATAATTACTCGTTTGTCTGCATGGTTTAAATCTCATCTTCTCTGTGTTGAATGATTGCTTGTAATGTGGCATATTATTGGGTGTGGACAACAATCATGATAACGCCATGTCAGAAACAATAGTAAAACTGAATGATTAATCTGATATCTCTGAATTTGTCTGTCATCAAATTGTACATGTTACTATGATGGTAATTTAACTTTGCAATCAAATTCTTTTTGAACATTCTGTAAACAAAAACCTAATAAAGCTGGTATTATCAATGTAAATTCTCAAGCAATCCTTTTATGTGTATGATGTAGATCTGTACTTTCTAAAGTGGGTTCTTAGAAATCTTCTATGTGTATGAAGAATTTGATAGTTGAATAGAATTCATTAAACAAACATTTTTGTGGTGACATGTTTTCATAGTATGAGGTTTTTGTGAGCAGATGGATTTAGGATGATGAGGCGAAGGAAGGCACCAGTTTCAGAAGAAGAGAGAGAGCAGGAAGTGTTATCAAGCTTGTGTCAACTGCTAAGGAAGAATGGTAAGTTTTCATTGTCAGTATGAAGCTACACGACGGAATCAGAGACTGAACTGGCTGTTGATAGATTATCATGCAATATGCATGATCTGAAAGCAACATTTGTCAAAGTATGGTAGATTTAGTGTGAAAATACACTGAAATATAAAATAAAATGCTTAATAAATCACAAAAATCAATGAGAATTTCATATGAGAAATATCATATAGCTATTGTTTATCACACAGTAAGCCACTGCAGGGACAATAATCCACTCAGGGTGGCACCCCTCTGGGTTTTTCACCTGGTAATATTATATTCCATGATGAACAAGTGATTCTGTGTGGTATATTTTATTGTACCATAAACAATTCCTTCTCATTTATTTATTTCTTCTTTGACACATGTCATCATATCCCAGTTGCCTAGATCAATGCTCATGCTGTATATCATTGGATTGTCTGGTACAGACTCGATTATCGACAGACCGAAACTCCCTCCCTCATTTATTTCTTAAATAGTATTACTACAACAAGACCAGTGTTTGACAGTGATACCATTTCTGATCATTGCTAGTTATGAAGTGTTTGATATGTGTAGGTGATAAAATAATAGACCTGGAAAGTTGTCTTTGTTATTGTTTTTGTTATAGTCAAAGTGTTATTCCTGCAATGTTGTGGAGGGATTCCTTTTTACTTTGTACTTTGGTTTCATCACTATATGGCTGAAACAATGCAGGTGTGATGTAAAGCTTTCACTCTCACTCATTGTTAAAGGCACTATATCACACCACACTTCTCTAAAAATAAGGGGCGGCGGGGTAGCCTAGTGGTTAAAGCGTTGGCTCGTCCCGCCGAAGATCCGGGTTCGATTCCCCACATGGGCACATTGTGTGAACCCCATTACTGGTGTCCCCCGCCGTGATATTGCTGGAATATTGCTAAAAGCGGCGTAACACTAAACTCAGTCAGTCAGTCAGTCTAAAAATACATAATGCATTTCTCTCAATACTACTATCAGCCCATAGAGTTATGTCCCTTGGAACGCTCTACAAATATCCTACGCACAACTTGTGATTGAAACCAGTTCAGCAAACACCGACAATACAGCATGCGACAGATTTCGATGTCCAGAGCAATTGTTTTCTTTCCATATATGACAAGTGTTCTCTGTTTGGAAGCAGTTTCAGTTATTGATTTCAGGCAAGTCATATGGGATAATAAGTCTTTTATTGCATCAATAGGAAGCGAGTGCATATTAGGGCTGCGCAATATAACCGGTTTACCGGTATTTACCGGTTCAGACATGAAAACGATACGTATTGCGATACGCTGATCGAAAACCGGTATTTTGCCATGCATTCGGAAAACTTCGTAACACTCGGAAATCTTCGGATATTTCCTTATTTCATTTGTGCCAAATATTATTCACATTTCTATTTTATCATGATGAAAAGTTGTTATTAAAGCTTAATCAAGCATAGTGATTTTGCTGTGTTTTTGCTGTATAAATCAAGCATTAACTCGATTATAAGTAGTTTTTTGTTTAAAAATACTTCATGCAATATATTGCAATACATATCGCAATAAATGCTTTCACATCACAATATATCGCAATATGAAAATTCTCTGCAATACCCACCCCTAGTGCATATGCCCCAATATATATAATATAGGCCAAAATATTGTCGGAAATGTGTGACATTGTGCCTTTAATGATGCCACTTAGTGATTTAAGACCTAATTCAGGAGCAGGATGCAGATACACTTGCCAATAGTAACCATACTACTTATGCTTCCGTCTGGCGCTCGGCATTAATGGGTACAACAAGGACTGGTCGGCTCGGAGTCAGTATAATGTGTCTGAGTGGGGTATTCATGCTTCACTGCGGCATGGTATCTCAGTGGGCTAGCACTATAAAACCAGCTTAAGTGTGGGCTAGTACAAGCAGCCGCACATACACATACACACGCATGCACGTCGTCATATGAGCGAAATATTCTCACACACGACGTTAAACCCAATTTCACCTCACCTCACCTCACCTCACCTCACCTCACCTCACCTCACCTCACCTCACCTCACCTCACCTCACCTCACCTCACCTCACCTCACCTCATCCTCACCTCACCTCACCTCACCTCACCTCACCTCACCTCCACCCCATCACCTCCACCTCACCTCACCTCACCTCCTCACCTCCTCACCCCACCTCACCTCACCTATCCTCATCCTTCCAGGATCCTCACCCCACCTCACCTCTCCTCACCTCTCCTATGCTTCCAGGAGACAAGATTCTGCAGGGTGAGGGGAAGCTGTCCCTCACTACACAAAGTCTGGGAATGCTGGGAACGTCCATGCGTCGACTGAGTGACACGGAGAGTATGGGACTGGCAGCATCGGCAGCAACGTTCAACAAGATCAACAGGCAGGCCGCTGCCTGGAAACAGGATGTGGAATTCCTGCGGGATTTTATATCTAAAACTTTGGCCATCAAAGTGAGTTTGTCATGGAACAAGTACCAAGTATATTAGTAAACATGATATTGGAACAGATCTGTTGAGATTTGTCTGCACTATGTTAGAATCATACTGTTTGTCATCTTGTGATCTTGGTGAACAGGCGAATATCTTTTTTGTATGAAATGTCTATATTATGGGAATGGAGGGGTATCTCAGGGGGGCAAACCATTTGCTTGTCATGTCAAAGGATAGGTTCACCACTTTTGTCTACAAAATCCTCAAAATGTCCTGTTGTCATTTGTCCGTGGTAAAATCACAAAGCCGTAATGTCACTTGTATTTCCAGCTGATGCATGGCTCGAATACAATGCAGGGTGCAATTCAGATACATCGGTTCCGCAGCTTGACTTTGTTGGAGGTGAAGAAGGTCCCCATCCATATGATAGAGGGCTTGCAGGTCCTGCGGGGGCAGCTGCATACCGTCATCGTGTCCCGCAGCCTCATGCATCTGCAGGTTAGTAGCAGTGATAGCAGCAACATCAGTAGTGTTGTAAATAGTAGTGATAGCAGCAACATCAGTAGCATTGCAAATAGCAGTGATAGCAGCAACATCAGTAGTGTTGTAAATAGCAGTGATAGCAGCAACATCAGTAGTGTTGTAAATAGTAGTGTTAGTAGCAACATCAGTAGTGTTGTAAATAGCAGTGATAGCAGCAACATCAGTAGTGTTGTAAATAGCAGTGATAGCAGCAACATCAGTAGCATTGCAAATAGCAGTGTTAGTAGCAGTATCAGGTTGTGTGGTAGTGGTTAAAGCGTTTGCTCGTCACGCCAAAGACCCGCATTCTATTCCCCACATGGACATAATATGTGAAGCCCATTTCTGGTATCCGCCTGATATTACTGGAATATTGCTAAAAGCGACGTAAAACTAAACTCACTCACTAGTAACAGCTTCGTAGGATTGTGAATAGAATAGTCAGTGGCAGCATTAGTAGCGTAGTAAATGGCAGTGTTAGCAGCAACTTCAGCATTGTAAGTAGTAGTGTCAGTAGCAGCATCAGCAACATTGGTCTGGTGGTCAATCACAGCTGTATTTAATAGTAGCAGCAACAATCATGTCAGTATTAATGTCAGTGTCAGTTGTACCCTGTGAGTAGCAGCAGTAATAGCAGTCTTAGTAGCAGTGTTTGTAGCTGTAATTTAAACAATGTTAATTGCACCATTAGTAGCATTTAGAGTAGGACTAGTAGCAGTATTAGTAGCAGCAACATTCATATGTCAGTCTTAGTAGCAGTGTTTGTAGCTGTAATTTAAGCAATGTTAGTTGCACCATTAGTAGCATTTAGAGTAGGACTAGTAGCAGCATTAGTAGCAGCAACATTCATATGTCAGTCTTAGTAGCAGTGTTTGTAGCTGTAATTTAAGCAATGTTAGTTGCACCATTAGTAGCATTTAGAGTAGGACTAGTAGCAGTATTAGTAGCAGCAACATTCATATGTCAGTCTTAGTAGCAGTGTTTGTAGCTGTAATTTAAGCAATGTTAGTTGCACCATTAGGAGCATTTAGAGTAGGACTAGTAGCAGTATTAGTAGCAGCAACATTCATATGTCAGTCTTAGTAGCAGTGTTTGTAGCTGTAATTTAAGCAATGTTAGTTGCACCATTAGTAGCATTTAGAGTAGGACTAGTAGCAGTATTAGTAGCAGCAACATTCATATGTCAGTCTTAGTAGCAGTGTTTGTAGCTGTAATTTAAGCAATGTTAGTTGCACCATTAGAGCATTTAGAGTAGGACTAGTAGCAGTATTAGTAGCAGCAACATTCATATGTCAGTCTTAGTAGCAGTGTTTGTAGCTGTAATTTAAGCCAATGTTAGTTGCACCATTAGGAGCATTTAGAGTAGGACTAGTAGCAGTATTAGTAGCAGCAACATTCATATTTCAGTCTTAGTAGCAGTGTTGGTAGCTGTAATTTAAGCAATGTTAGTTGCACCATTAGTAGCATTTAGAGTAGGACTAGTAGCAGTATTAGTAGCAGCATTTCATTATGTAGCAGCAGTGTTTGTAGCTGTAATTTAAGCAGGTTAGTTGCACCATTAGTAGCATTTAGAGTAGGACTAGTAGCAGTATTAGTAGCAGCATTAGTAGCAGCATTAGTAGCAGCATTAGTAGCAGCATTAGTAGCATTTAGAGTAGGACTAGTAGCAGCATTAGTAGCAGCATTAGTAGCAGCATTAGCAAAGCAGCTGCATTAGTAGCATTTTAGAGTAGGACTAGTAGCAGTATTAGTAGCAGCAACATTCATAGTCAGTCTTAGTAGCAGCATTAAGTAGCAATGTTAGTTGCAGCATTAGTAGCATTTAGAGTAGGACTAGTAGCAGTATTAGTAGCAGCATTAGTAGCATTCAGTCTTAGTAGTGGGACTAGTAGCAGTATTAGTAGCAGCATTAGTAGCAGCATTAGTAGCATTTAGAGTAGGACTAGTAGCAGTATTAGTAGCAGCATTAGTAGCAGCATTAGTAGCATTTAGAGTAGGACTAGTAGCAGTATTAGTAGCAGCATTAGTAGCAGCATTAGTAGCATTTAGAGTAGGACTAGTAGCAGTATTAGTAGCAGCATTAGTAGCAGTATTAGTAGCAGCATTAGTAGCAGCATTAGTAGCATTTAGAGTAGGACTAGTAGCAGTATTTGTAGCAGCATTAGTAGCAGCATTAGTAGCATTTAGAGTAGGACTAGTAGCAGTATTTGTAGCAGCATTAGTAGCAGCATTAGTAGCATTTAGAGTAGGACTAGTAGCAGTATTAGTAGCAGCATTAGTAGCAGCATTAGTAGCATTTAGAGTAGGACTAGTAGCAGTATTTGTAGCAGCATTAGTAGCAGCATTAGTAGCATTTAGAGTAGGACTAGTAGCAGTATTAGTAGCAGCATTAGTAGCAGCATTAGTAGCATTTAGAGTAGGACTAGTAGCAGCAATGTTCACAGCAGCATTAGGAGTAGCATCACTAAGAATGTTACCATCATCAGTTGCAGTGTTAGTAATGGTATTTAAAGCTGCATTAATCCCAGTGTTTGCAGCAGTGTGAGTGCCACAGTGTGAGTGAGAACAGGAGAGATTGTCACTGCTACTGTGTTATCAGAAATGTAGACAGCTAATGGTATTCAGTTGTTTTCTTCACATGTGACATGATCCTTAATGAAATTGTTCAGTTCAAGAAGATTCCTCTGGAGGACTAGGATGCATGCTTGATCTTGATCTTACAATATATTTGTTTTGTAAAATATTTGTGGGCAACTCATTTGAGTTGGTGTTTATTTTCTGAAATCTTGTAATTCACAGGAGCTGTTCGAGACGTGTGGTGGAGACATGAGTGCTCCCATGTCCTGGCCACACCTCAAGTCCGCATCTGTCAGCTTTAACGGCATTCAGAGTCTGGATGGATCACTTGTAAGTTGTTGACAAGTTGGTGTTGTTGTAGTTTTAACATGCAGCTGGTAACTTCCTGGCATTTACCCTCAATAGTGTTCTCTATGTCAGTGTAGAGAGATGTTGTGTTTATATGATTGGTACACCTACAGAATAGCGGATACATATCAGCTATATTGTTTAGTGTCACATCAGCCTATCCCTAAACCTTACCCTAAACCTTACCCTAAACCTTACCCTACCCTAAACCTTACCCTAAACCTTACCCTAAACCTTACCCTTACCCTAAACCTTACCCTAAACCTTACCCTTACCCTAAGCCTCATTCTCTTCCCACAGAGGTTACTCCTGTCATATCTTCCTACATAACCTCTGTTCTAATACGGCCCTTTCATGGTGTGAGCGTTCAAGACTCGTGATTGGAGACAATCAGATTTAGTTGTGCAATCAGCGACGTTGTTTCAAAAGTGATCATTCGCAAGGCCTCGGTAATTTCCGTATGCTTCGAGAAAACTAAACTTCTTCCCCTGCGCGATGCGCAAACGTTTCTTCTAGACAGAACTCAGTCATGTTATGGCGGATCAGTGGCATCTCCATCGCCCTCGTTGACAACGGACAAGCTAGCCATTAAACGTCTTGTGTGTAACATCAACACAAGTCACCGGCAGATGGGGGATATTTGTGGCCCCACATTTGCTTGTGTTAGTTAAGTTGAATCTAAGTCGATGTAACAGGCTTTCTGATTGGATGGAAAGAAGGGAGATAATTCGTGTTGCGATCTTTTGCCGCTAGGGGATTTTACGAGAACCGGGAAATATGGCCGTATTAGAACAGAGGTTACGTAGGAAGATATGACAGGAGTAACCTCTGTGGGAAGAGAATGCCTAAACCTAAACCTAACCCTAAACCTTACCCTAAACCTTACCCTTACCCTAAACCTAACCCTAAACCTAACCCTAAACCTAACCCTAAACCTAACCCTAAACCTTACCCTAAACCTTACCCTAAACCTAACCCTAAACCTTACCCTAACCCTAAGTAAATTCACGTGCTTTCAAAGCTGGTGGAAGGTATCCGGTATTCTGTAATCTTACCATAGGATTCACATCATTTACATCACAGGAATGTCTGAATTTGCAACCTCCTACCAAGTGGTACTAAGCTGTTTTGTAAAGGATGAATGGATGCCTGGGCTTCTATTGTTAAATTATTCTAATTTCAGAGATTACTGCCATGCTTGGAGGAGTTCGATGTGAGCCACAACCAACTGGATAGGGCAGACAAGAACCTGGAGGTAGGTGTCCTGAAGTCACTATCTTACAGCAATATCAATGTATTATCTCATGTTATAAGTATTGATAGATACTGAAATGAAATTGATTAAGCCCCAATTTGGCATGATTTGAGAATGGCCATCATCTTTGTATGAAGTTCTTGGTTTGTAAGATGGATGTGGCATGAGACTATGTGTCTGTTGGCTGATATGCCAGTCAAGTGTGTGGCTGTAATCTGTTGTGTCTGATGTGCCAGTAGACTTTGGTGTCTGATGTGCCAGTAGACATTAGTGTGTCATGTGCCAATAGACTGTGTCTGATGTGCCAGTAGACTCTGCATCTGATGTGCTAGTAGACTGTGTGTCTGATGTGCGAGTTAACTGTGTCTGATGTGCCAGTAGACTGTGCCTGATGTGCCAGTAGACTGTCTGATGTGCTAGTAGACTGTGTGTCTGATGTGCCAGTGGACTTTGGTGTGTGATGTGCCAGTAGACTGTGTGTCTGATGTGCCAGTAGACTGTGTGTCTCATGTGCCAGTAGATTGTGCATCTCATGTGCCAGTAGACTGTGTTTGATTTGCCAGTAAACTGTGCATCTGAAGTGCCAGTTAACTGTGTGTCTGATGTGCCAGTAGACTGTGTATCTGATGTGCCAGTAGACTGTGTCTCATGTGCCAGTAGACTTTGGTGTGTCATGTGCCAGTAGACTGTGTCTGATGTGCTAGTAGACTGTGCATCTGATGTGCGAGTTAACTGTGTCTGATGTGCCAGTAGACTGTGTCTGATGTGCCAGTAGACTGTCTGATGTGCTAGTAGACTGTGTGATGTCTAGACTGTGTGTCTGAGCCTAGAAGACTTTGTCTGATGTGCCAGTAGACTGTGTGTCTGATGTGCCTGTAGACTGTGTGTCTTGTGCATGTAGACTGTGTCTGATGTGCCTGTAGACTGTTTAAACTTGCGTAGATTGTGTCTCATGTGCCTGTAGACTGTTTCGCATGTAGACTGTGTCTGTGTGTCTGATGTGCCTATAGACTGTGTTCGGCATGTAGACCGCGTGTCTGTGTGTCTGAAGTGCCTGTAGACTGTGTTTCGGCATGTAGACTGTGTCTGAAGTGCCTGTAGACTGTGTTTCGGCATGTAGACTGTGTCTGATGTGCCTGTAGACTGTGTTTCGGCATGTAGACTGTGTCTGTGTGTCTGAAGTGCCTGTAGACTGTGTTTCGGCATGTAGACTGTGTCTGATGTGCCTGTAGACTGTGTTTGGCATGTAGACTGTGTCTGATGTGCCTGTAGACTGTTTCTGCTTGTAGATTGTGTCTCTACCTGTAGACTGTGTTTAGGCATGTAGACTGTGTCTGTGTGTCTGAAGTGCCTGTAGACTGTGTTTCGGCATGTAGACTGTGTCTGTGTGTCTGAAGTGCCTGTAGACTGTGTTTCGGCATGTAGACTGTGTCTGAAGTGCCTGTAGACTGTTTCGGCATGTAGACTGTGTCTGATGTGCCTGTAGACTGTTTGCATGTAGACTGTGTCTGGTGTATGTAGACTGTGTTTTGGCATGTAGACTGTGTCTGTGTGTCTGAAGTGCCTGTAGACTGTGTTTCGGCATGTAGACTGTGTCTGAAGTGCCTATAGACTGTGTTTCGGCATGTAGACTGTGTCTGAAGTGCCTGTAGACTGTGTTTGGCATGTAGACTGTGTCTGAAGTGCCTGTAGACTGTGTTTCGGCATGTAGACTGTGTCTGAAGTGCCTGTAGACTGTGTTTCGGCATGTAGACTGTGTCTGAAGTGCCTGTAGACTGTGTTTCGGCATGTAGACTGTGTCTGTGTGTTTCAGTACCTGACAGAGCTGCAGCGACTCAACCTGGGCTACAACTGCCTCTCGTCACTACCCACCTTCTCCATCACCTGCAAGGCCAAGCTCAGAACCCTTGTCATCAAGAATAACAATCTGGATAACATTACAGGTTGGTTTAACCTTAAAGTTGAAATAACAAATCTACTTCTAATAATTACTATAATAGTGAAATGCAAGGCTACCTATTTTCAAAATTGGAATGGATATGAGTAGACACAGTTCTTCTCTTGCAGTGCTGAATTTCCTGTTGTATTATTGAGATATATGATCATATGTATTGTCTGTACAGGCGTGGAGGAGTTGACTGCCCTCCAGGAGCTGGACGTGTCTGAGAACTGCATCGCCGACCATCAGTGCCTGCAAGCTCTCTCCAGCCTCCTCCTGATGTACAGGGTAAGGGCTTCCTGCTCTAGTACCATACATACTGCAGGGTAAGGGCTTCCTGCTCTAGTACCATACATACTGCAGGGTAAGGGCTTCCTGCTCTAGTACCATACATACTGCAGGGTAAGGGCTTCCTGCTCTAGTACCATACATACTGCAGGGTAAGGGCTTCCTGCTCTAGTACCATACATACTGCAGGGTAAGGGCTTCCTGCTCTAGTACCATACATACTGCAGGGTAAGGGCTTCCTGCTCTAGTACCATACATACTGCAGGGTAAGGGGCTTTCCTGCTCTAGTACCATACATACTGCAGGGTAAGGGCTTCCTGCTCTAGTACCATACATACTGCAGGGTAAGGGCTTCCTGCTCTAGTACCATACATACTGCAGGGTGGGGCTTCCTGCTCTAGTACCATACATACTGCAGGGTAAGGGCTTCCCTGCTCTAGTACCATACATACTGCAGGGGTAAGGGCTTCCTGCTCTAGTACCATACATACTGCAGGGTGGGGCTTCCTGCTCTAGTGCCATACATACTGCAGGGTAAGGGCTTCCTGCTCTAGTGCCATACATACTGCAGGGTAAGGGCTTCCTGCTCTAGTACCATACATACTGCAGGGTAAGGGCTTCCTGCTCTAGTACCATACATACTGCAGGGTAAGGGCTTCCTGCTCTAGTACCATACGTACTGCAGTTCTGCATGAACAGAGTTTCTGTAGGGTTAGGTATTGAGTTTACTTTCACTGGTCCAAAAATCTCATCTGCTTCAGAGTTGCTATCTACCTATAGGTTGAAGGTGTTGTTCACTAGGCACTGCGGGGCTTGATTTAAGCAATTAGAACTTGCTCTGGTACAAACTGAAACTGCAACATGCATCCACATATACATATGAACTTGCACCTACTGCATGTTGATATGTTGCTGTTAATACAACACACTTCAACTGGAAAACAGAATGATGAGGAACTGGCTTGGAGCAGTGGCTCTGATGACTGATTAAATGACTGTTACTGTTAATGTCATGAAATTGTATGAAGTGACATAAAATGTCATAACCAGTATTAATTTGTTATATTTTTCCTTATCCTGACTCATGCTCTTTTGCTTGTCTTCTTCTTCTTGCGAACATAGTGGAACACTTGTATCTCCCTAATTGAAGCTCCCTTCAATGTAAAATCACTAATTAATACTCACCAAGAGTTGCCTCCCTCTTCCCAAACTCTCTCCTTCTTCAGCCCAGTGAGCAGGAAGGCTCTTGTGTCTCCCTACACACTATATCCTTTGATTATTCTTAGGAGTTACCTCTTATAGTCTTCATGAGGCTGTCTACTCTCTGCAACAATTATGTATTGATATTTATTCTTAATTCTGCTGTTTATTCGGGGACCGCGTGATTGTTCAAAGCAAGCAGCTGATGAAAATCTGTACTGTTTGTAGATTACGCTGCTGTGATCTGCTCTAGCCTACACACCATGTCCTTTTCTTTATTGCTTAGTTAATAATTTGTCTAATTCTGCATTTAAATATTATCTTTCTATGAGACGCGCGATCAGAGGTGTAGCTAGCCATATCCTTCGGAACAATTGACATAAAATGTGTAATTGATAATTTATTCCTTATCCCTAATTCTTTTTGCTTGTCTCTTCTGTTTATTGGAACACTTGTATCTCCCTAATTGAAGCTCCCTTCAATGTAAATTAATTTACTCACCAGAGTTTCCCGTTGATGAAAATCTGCTTACTCCTTCTTGTAGATTGACGCTTTTTCTGCTGCTGATTATTCTGCATTTACCTCTTATGTCCCTATTGAGCTGTACTGCAACCATGTAATTCTGCGTTTTCACGGACGCCGATTGTTGCAGTTTCACGTTACTGTAATAATTTGTCTAATTCTGCATTTAATATTAGCTGTACTGCAAATATTATCTTTTGCGTCTTAATAATTTGTCTAATTCTGCATTTAACAAATATTATCTTTGCGCCTTGATAGCGCATCAGATAGGTCACGCATACAGTTTAGCCATGGCCAATACGCCGGAACCCCTCGCCAGTCAACTGCTGTCGGACGACCCACTCCCGTCTGGTGTTCCGCTAGAGTTACCCTCGAGCGGGGGCGCGATCCGCCATCTCCAAGAAGCGACCTGCATCCCCAGACATTCCGTCGTCGCAGCCAAAGACTAAGAGGGCTTCTACATCATCTCAACGCAGACTCCGTACCCCCAGGGCAGCGTCTACCTCCAAGGGGAAATCGACGAAGTCTACTAGAACCTTCTCAGCCGAGATTGTTCCCGCCACAGAACTGGGCCTGTAGATCTACGCCACAAGAAACGACCGGTGCCGGCAACAGTGACGTCAGCGCAGATCTACACGCAGCCTGATGTACCAAAGCCGATGTCTGACGATCTTCCTGAGGGTCCCGTCACTACCAACGCAGAGAGGGCACCAACTACATCTTCGCAGACTGTCCCAGACGACCTGGTTCTTCAGATCATGAAGATGATGGAAGACCGATACGGACTGGAGAGACAACCAGCCCAGAGCCTTAGCCTTCGTGAAGGCTCCAACCGAGACGTCACCCAAGAGGGACCTCCCGTCAACGAAGCGCCCGCTTCAAAGTCATCGCTGGGAAAGCCACCTGCGCGAAGGACGTCACAGCCCACCTCTGCGAAGGACCCAGATGTACAGCGTTCGCGAAGGCCTTCGCGAAGTACATCTAGATCGTCACCTACCTCGGACTCCGATGATCAACGCTCACGAAGAGGTTCGCGAAGGAAGATCCTTTCATCCCCGGACTCTGACTCGGACCCCCAGCCTTCGCGAAGGTCAAGTCGTCACTCCCCAGGACCGGACTCAGATGAAGCTTCGCGAAGGGCACCAGTTACAGGCTCCAAGTCATCTTTGTCTAGAAGGTCATCGAGGGATTCCCCAAGAGCTCCGCGAAGCTATCAACGTTCACCACGCAGATCTCCACGAAGGTCACCATATAGACGCAGCTCGTCAGGCCGTTCTCCACGACGATCTCCTCACCGTTCTCCACGCCGATCACCTCGTCGTTCACCTCGCCGATCTCCTCACAGGTCACCACGTCGATCTCCTCGCAGGTCACCACACCGTTCGCCTCACAAGTCTTCACGGAAGTCACCAGACAGGTCTCCGTTGACGTCACCTTGCACAGCTGTAGAAGTATACAGGTCTCCACCTCAGTCACCATCGGAAGAGCATCAACCTCTTATCAGCGATCCCGTTACAGAAGACGATGGAGGCATCATTTTCTCTGTCGCAGAAATACGCTATTGGATGGTTAACAACCTGGACCTATCTTCACCTTCCAAGAACGGTAATCCGGCCCACACTTACCTCATGAGGGAGGACGATGCAGATACCATCACCCTACCTCCGATCGACCTGATAGCAGCGGTCCCCCAGAATCTGGACACAGCCTTCCATAAAGCCACTAAAGCCCAGGCGCTGCACTTACCACAGTTCAACGCCAAAAAGTTCTCAACCCATAATATGGACCCTTTTTTCAAGGCACAAGAAATCGACGATAACTTCAAAGTAATCAACGATGCAAAGAATAAGACCTACAAGATAGACGACCGCAAGCTGGTTCAGATCGAAACCATGACAAGGAGGATGTTCTTCGGCCTTAACAGATCAAGAACGATTAATGAGACTCTCATCACCAGATTTTGAGATTCTACATCTGAGGATGACAGAATGATATACTCGGCCCTCCTTATGCAGAAGAAGGACCAGCAGTTTCTAACGGATCATCTTACATCAGTCTCTGCAGCGCTAACTCTGGCTCGTCGTCAAGGTCTCCTCGCTTCCTGTAGTTTACATTCCCACTCTACACAGCCCCGTGGTCTACGCCATCTATCTTCGATGGAGGTATAGATAAAGTCTCTAAAGAAGTCACCAAGGATTCAAGGGAAGTCCTTATGATAAAGTCGATGGACACGCTAGCTAGCGTCATCAGGCAGACATCTCAGAGATATTCAGGAAGATCAATGTTTACTGGCTTACAGAAAGCAAGGGATAGGAAGATGGTCAGTTCAAGAGGAAAAGATTCTTTTCGTCGCCCATATGGCAACTACAGAGGAGGATCTGGAAGAGGCAGGGCACCCAGAGGTTCCCGCAACTATAAGCGATGAAGAGCGGGTTCGGAGCGTCTGGGTCTTCCACCCCAGCCGTTCCAGTACAACCATCACAAGTGGGTGGACGCCTTCAACTGCACTGGGAGAAATGGGAAATTCTACAAGACCCATATGTCTCCAACATACTTCAACACACGGTTTATCGAATCCAACTACAGGCCATGCCTCGGCTTACAGTCAACCCTCACAAGTTCGACTTCCAGAGCAACAACTACCAAAGTTAAGAGAGGCTGTTACATCTCTCCTAACCAAGCAGGCCATAGAAGTACTGGATCAAGTAAACATCGAACCAGGCTTTCTACTCCCCAGTTTTCCTAGTGCCAAGAAAAACTCCAAGGAAAAGTTCAGACTCATTTACAACATGAGCACGTTCAACAGAGATTATCTACGCAAACCGCCAACTTTTCGCATGATACATCTACCTCAACTACGGCACCTAATCCTCATCCCATGGACTACATGGCCAGTATAGGGCCCGTAAAGGCGGGTCCGCTGACGCCAGCGAGAGATTCACGTTGTTTGGTACTTCCGGTGACAAACAAGCGCTTTTTCGGCAATGGCGATAACACTGTTACATGGGGTATGCCGTGGATAATCATACTCGACACTGGCTGTGCGAATCAGAAACCTATGCCATGTAATAGACTATGGACTGCTAAAGCACTAAGGCAATGTTGCATGAATAGTACGTGGATATTTGCCAAACAGATGCAGAGTTGTCTGGCGTGGAGTCTTCAGGCTGGCCCATTCATTAGTCTAGGTGAAGTTTGTTACATGGATTTCTTTGTTTTCATTTAAAGGCTGGTATTGTTTAAGCATAGCACCGCTGACAGTAAGGGGTGGAGTTGAC